GGGCCGGTACCGGCCCCTGCAGTGCCACGGCAGCACCGGGCACTGCTGGTGCGTGGACGCTGCCGGGCAGGAGATCGCCGGCACACGGACGGCGCCCGGCACCACCCCGCCTCGCTGCGGGGGCCCAGGTCAGTGCCCGGGGGGGCATCCTCAGCGTGGAGGGGGCACCCAGCAAGGAAAGGGGGGACTCAGGGCTGTGTCAAAGCCCTGAGCCCCCCGAGCTCGCACATGGGGGGTGACTGTGGCCTTTTCCCCCCCCTATTCCAGAGCCCACAGAGCGGCCGCCCAGCATGTGCGAGCGCTGGCGGCAGAGCCTGCTGGAGCACTACGGGGGCAGCCCCCGCGGCGACCAGTACGTGCCCCAGTGCGACCCCCAGGGACACTTCACCCCGCTGCAGTGCCACGGGGACAGCGGGTACTGCTGGTGTGTGGACGAGAGCGGCAGGGAGATCCAGGGAACGCGCTCGGAGCCCGGCACCGCCCCGCCATGTAAGAGCTGAGCGCCCCAAAGTGGCCCTTGCTCCCTCCTGCTCGCTCCTGCTCGGGTGTGGAGCTGAGCCGTCTCCCCCTGAGCCATCTCTCCCTCCCTGTTCCCGCTGTTCCCGTGCCAGGTCTCCCCAGCGTCGCGCCGCCCACCGTCCGGCCCTCGCCCCGGCCCGACGTGTCCCCACCGACCACGGGGACCTTCCTGCTCTACGCTCAGGGACAGCAAATTGGATACCTCCCGCTCAACGGGACGAGGCTGCAGAAGGAGGCGGCCAAGACCCTGCTCTCCCTGCATGTACGATATCCCTGGGGATGGGGGCGGGGTGTGGGAATACCGGAGGGAGTTTGGGAAAGGCTGGTGCTGCCGCTCTGTTTCACACCTCCCTGGACCACTTGTCTGAGCTGTGATGGTTTGGGGGGGTCATCTCTTGAAGGTTGATGTTGTTTCGTGGGGACGTTGGCTGTGCTGACTTTGTGCTGAGGTGGAATTTTTGACAAGGGCCTGAAGTGACTGGACAAGGGGAATGGGTTCACACTGACAGAGCAGGGTTAGATGGGATATTGGGAAGGAATTCCTGGCTGTGAGGGTGGTGAAGCCCTGGCACAGGTTTCCCAGAGAAGCTGTGGCTGCCCCATCCCTGGCAGTGTCCAAGGCCAGGCTGGATGGGGCTTGGAGCAACCTGGTGTGGTGGAAGGTGTCTCTGCCCATGGCAGGGGGTGCAACAAGATGGTCTTTAAAGTCCCTTCTAACCCAAGCCATTCTGGGATTCTGTGGAGGAGGAGTGTTCTCACCTCTCCCTCCACTCATCCCAGCAGAGGGGCAGGTCAGTGACAGGTCCCAGATCTGGGACTGCCCACAAAGAGAAGGATCCTGGGTGCTTCCAGAGCTCCCCAAAGTAGGTCATGGCCCTGGGCTTCCAGCTGCACGGCTCTACTGCAGCCTTGCCTTTTCCCTTCCTCGGACTCCTCTTGGAATGTGGCCATGTGCATCTCCAGCCAGGCCAGACCAAGGGGGAGGAACACTGAAAGCTGGGCCACGACCCTCCCTATACCCCAGGGAATTAAACACTTTGCCAAGTATTCCCTCTCCCCATCCTGAAGGTCGTTCCTGGGGCTGGCTTTGCTCTTGGAGCAGCCTCGCCTCGAGGCAAAGGGTTCGGATCCATCTGGCTGTGGGTGTGTGCCTGCACCAGCTGGCCTAAAATCCTCTGCTGCAGGATTCCACTGGGAGGGTGCAGTAGGGACCCGTTGGAGTTGGTTTGTGCTGGAAAAAATGGGATTTGAGTGTCATTGCCTATTGCTGCATCCTGCAGTGTGTGCCAGGCAGCTCCCACTGCCAGCTGGTGGGATAAGGATGCTCAGTGAGCCTCCTGGCAGGATTTCACCCCGTGTCCCTCTCCCAACCTTGCCAGGGCTCCATCGTGGTGGGGATTGACTATGACTGCCGGGAGAAGATGATCTACTGGACGGATGTGGCCGGACGGACCATCAGCCGGGTGAGCCTGGAGCCAGGGGCCGAGCCAGAGACCATCATCAACTCAGGTGTGTCCCCGTCCCTCTGACACCCGCCCCAAAGCCACATCAGCAGGTCACAGATCCAGGACTGTCCTGCTTTGGGCTCCTCCATCCGCGCTCCCATTCCCCGGTGTCGGGTCAGGAGGGCCGTGGGGGGCTCTGAGGGATCCCGGAGCAGCACTTCCCGAGCCGCTGAGCGTGGCCTTCCCCCAGCAGGACTCATCAGCCCCGAGGGCCTGGCTGTGGACCACCTGCGCCGGGCCATGTTCTGGACCGACAGCGGGCTGGACAGGATCGAGAGGGCGCGGCTGGACGGCTCCGAGCGGCGCGTGCTCTTCGACACCGAGCTCGTCAACCCCCGCGCCATCGCCGTGGACCCCGTCCGAGGGTGAGCGGCGGCAATTCCAGAGGGATTTGGACGCCAGGTGCGAGGGTCGAACAGATGCGGCCGCGCCGAGGCCCCATCCTGACCCTGGGAGCGGCTCTGCTGCGCCGCACACCCCGCAGGAGGGGTTGGCTCTGTTCCCCGGCCACGCTTTTGTTTGGTAATTCAGGATTTGGCTGAAGCTGCTGTTTCAGTATCAGGACGGACATTATTTTTGAAAGCTCTGAAACACTCCTGGCGTTTGGAAACACTAGCTGTGCCTCCAGGGTGCTGTTGTGATACAAAATGTGCTACTCCTAAGGCTCGCCCTCGTCTGGGAGCTGCAGTTTGGGTCATAAACATGTTTGATATTGCTCTGCTTTGCTTTCAGGGATATTTTCCTAATCAAATAAAGATGTTTCAGGCACTGATAAAGGGAAAACCAGGCCTTGCTCCTGACAAGAACCAAATGAAGGAATAATCTCCCACCACTCCTTACTGTTGTGTGTCCTGTTTGTGCATTATTTCCCAAGAAACCTTTACTGGACGGACTGGAATCGTGAAGCTCCCAAAATTGAAACTTCCACTGTCAATGGAGCCAACAGGAGGGTCCTGGTGCACACAGACATCGGTTTGCCCAATGGCCTGACGTTTGACCCCTTCTCCAAGCTGCTGTGTTGGGCAGATGCAGGTAAGGTGAGCTCCCCTGTTGTGCCAGAGTAGAGTTGGGTTGCATATTGGAAGAAATTTTTTTCATGGAAAGGGTGTTCAGGCATTGGAACAGGCTGGCCAGGGCAGTGGTGGAGTCCCCCGTCCCTGGAGGGATTTAGAAGCCATGTGGATGTGGCACTTGGGGACATGGGGCAGTGGTGGCCTTGGCAGGGCTGGGGGAATGTTGGACTTGATGATCTTGGAGGGCTTTTCCAACCTAAACGATTTTATGATTCTACATCCTTAGGCTTAAAAGCCGTTTCCAAATGTAGTAAATCAGGAAAAGGTTTTTCACCCATAGGGTGGTGGGGCACTGAACAGGCTCCCCAGGGCAGTGGTCACGGCCCCAAGCCTGACAGGGCTCAAGGAGTGTTTAGACAAGGCTCTCAGGCCCATGGTGAGATTTTGGGGGTGTCCTGTGGAGGATCAGGAGTTGAACTTGATGATCCTTGGGACTCCCTTCCAACTCAGCATATTCTATGATCGTATGAAATACAAAGAACGTATTTGCTGGGGTGTCTTTTTGTGGTATGATAAATACCTCGTGTTTGAACAGGCACAAAGCACCTGGAATGCACATTCCCTGATGGCACAGGCCGGCGTGTCATCCAGAACAACCTCAACTACCCCTTCAGCATCATCAGCTACGCCAACCACTTCTACCACACGGACTGGAGACGGTGAGGGGGGAAAAGCCACTCCCTGCGTGGCTGGGAATGCTGAGCTCCCTCCAACAGCTGGGAGCCAGCCTCCATGATTCCCTGAGAGCAGCCTGGAGGGGTTTTGTGCCAGAGGGGGAAAACAAAGGCTGTCCCCAGCCTGCTCCCGAGTCCTGGAGCCTCACCAGAGCTGTCGTGGCTCTCTAGAAAGCTGAACGTGGGTTCAGCAACACCCGCTTGTAAATCTCAGTACAGAGTTGTTTAGACACAGCCTCAGCTCTCTGGGAGGGACAGAAATAGTGGTTTGTTTTTTTTTTTTTTAAACTAAAACTTGGCCCAAGTCTCCAAATCTAGATTAGGGCAAAGCAGAGATTCTGTCCTCAGCCGTTCCCTCTGCCCCGACACCCAAAGGCCTCGGCACCAGGAACTCGCCTCTGTTCCCACTCCAGCTGGAAGCTCTCAAAACTCCCATCAAATCTTAGATTACAACAAACACTTAAGTGCTTGCCACGCTTGGAGGAGACTCTCAGGGAGATAATCTCTCCTTGGAAGGCTCTTTCTGTGGCTGCATCAGCGGAGAGAAATGCACTGAATGAGCTGGAGGGAGCTTTTATGGGGCAGATTTCTTTCCACTTGTCCTGCAGGTGTTCAGACCAGTCTTTTTAGCTGCCTCTGTTCTTAAATGCACATGGAGGGGAGGGGGAAAAACCAAGTTTTATAGATGAATAAAGCACTTCTCCCCCTTTTTTCCCCAGGGATGGGGTGATAGCTGTAAATAAAGACACCGGCTCCTTCACCGATGAGTATCTTCCAGAGCAGCGATCCCACCTCTATGGAATAACAGCAGTTTATCCCTACTGCCCTGGAGGTAAAACCCACCCCAAAACCCATCCCCTTGTGACTCTCTGATGGCTGCTTGACACACTAAAACTACCCTTTTCCCCCTGCAGCGAGGAAATAGTAACTCCCAGTTTCAAGGAATCAACAATCTTTGCACCCAGAAGAACTTCAGACCCAGAAAACTGTCACTGCATGAAAGGAGGGAAAAGCCCTCAGCCAAGGCCAACCAAGCAACCTGCTTTCCTGCAAAAAGTATTTTTTTTTATGGTTATACCTCAAGACTTTACTACTGTATTTTTTTACCAAGTGGAAAACATTGATATATTACCAAAAAAAAAAAAATGGTCCTGGGCATCTCAGGCCATTACTCAAACTCTTGCTTAATGCAAGAAGGTTTAAAATGTAGCTTTTTTTTCTTTTTTAATCAAATGTTTTATTTTAATGGAAGAAGAATGGATTAATTTTTAACGGTTTTGACAATCTGACCAACAGGTGCTTTTATCCCAAAAATAAAATTAAGTGCCTATGGGAAGCTTTGGATGCAGTATCTCACTGGGTCTGAATAACCTACAGCCCTGAAGACAGAGACTGTGTGTGCTCCAAAAAAGGTGCAGAACAGGGATGTGACGTGGCAAAGGCATTGAAGATTTTCCAGAAGATGATTCTGTGTTCTCACCACTGCCTCAATGCATGTCTTTTAGTATTTATATTAGAAGAATATGCTAGAATTGATCTGTTCATGCTTGTTGGTTCTTCCAAGTGCCTTCATAGACCTACCCAGTGTAGACCAATACATGTTCAGAAATACCCAGTTACCTTGTAATGCTTCACTTTTTCTAGGTTACTTCAATAATTGAATAAAGAGGTTGGTTTAAGTTTCCCTTTGGATTTAGTTTTTTAAATATTTCAGGGGGGAAGCAGCAAGCAAGCCAGGAGCAAGCTGTTCACAGGGCAGGACCTCAGCAAAAAAGGGTTTTATGTAACGCTCCCCTCTCGACACGAAGCCAAACACAACTGAAAACGAGAAAAAGAGGGGAAAAAAGTCTTATTTGCCAACTCAGAGCTAACCAGAACAATTTGTCTGTTTTCCCCAATCTCATTTATTTAAAGAAAAAAAAAAATGACAATTCATTAGAAGTCAGAATTCAATTTCCTGTTTTCTTTCCAAACAGTGAAACAATCCCGTTTCAAGCCGCATGCTGGAGTACGGGGCTGGACGTGGTTCCTACTTGCACTAAGCACACACACAGGGCTGAAAGCCTTTATCCCTTCATCTCCCAACTTTCCCCAGTCTGTGGTCAGTCTTGGGATCAGCGATAATGGCCTGGACAGCAACAATGGCTTCGTTAATCTTGGTCTGCAGCTCCCGGAGCTCCTCTATGTGCAGCAGGCGGAGGATCTGGGCAGCCTCGTTGATAACAGCATCTGGGGAGGGGCAGGAAGAGAAACTTTCATTCCATCCATCATTTTTAGCTCACAGGAAGGACTTAAGAAGAGCTTAATTGGAGCTGGTGGTTGTGGTTTCCAGGCTGGCGATAGGAAACAACTTTCCCTGCTGCTACAGAGGGATGGGGTGTCCTCCAAAACCTCACCCAGCCCTCAAAAATCCAGGGCTGGGTCAGAGAATCAGAGAATCACAGACTGGTGTGGGTTGGAAGGGACCTTAAGGATCATCTCATTCCAACCCTCTGCCATGGCCAGGGACACCTCCCAGTGGAAAGTTGGTATGAAACATTCCAAGCAGCGATTTAGGTGGCGTGGAGCCAGACTAGTGGAGTCCCAGGTCACCTGGTCATTCCTTATAAATAACCCATCAGGCCACGCCAACTTGAGCTGCCTCCATTAGGTTTTAGGTAAATCAGGCAGCTAAAATCCCTGGAAGCAGCACAGATGTCCTCTGCTGGTAGCAGCAGGATTTACAAACAGCAGGATGCATTCCTTCCTTCCTTCCGCTGGGAAACGTGGCTGCCATGAAAAGCTGTTATTTAAACATAACTCTGAAACAACATCTTCCCCAGCTCAGATTTAGGCTTTTCTGTTCCAAACCCAAATGCTCAGGAGTGCTCATAAATAACCAGCTGGGAGGGAGGAATTCTTTCCACTCCAGGGTTTTTTTTTTTACTGGACACATCAGCTACATATTTGACAGTAATAGGCTCTGTGGCTGTTTAAAAGTCACATTAGGAGAAGTGCTCACCTCCCGTGTCAAATCCAAGAATGTGCTTTTCCAGAGCAACAGGCAGACCCTTGGAAAGGAAAAAAAACGTGTTCAAATGCAGTTAAAAATGTATGTTTGGTAAATAAAAGCAAGTAATGCAGCAGGTAACTCTGGAGGAGAAGACACGAGTTTTGCTTGTGTGTGTTTGATTACACAAGTCTCTGTCCTGAAACACCAAACCCAGAGTTTTATTACAGGAAAATCTGCCTGGTTAATAATCCCCTGAGCTGTCAAGCAAACCCCATTGGACACACACTGCCTGCATTCAATCCTTAAAAGGCCAACACCAGGACTGGGAGAGAACACCCAATCCAGCAGCATCGCTCCCCAGGCGAACAAAAACCCTGCACAAACTGGGCTTTCTTAGAAACTTCTGCCTTTAAACAGCTGCCAGGTTTTAAGCACTGGATGATTCAAAAGAGCTGCAAAAATGCTCTGCAGTAAGAGTTTCTCGAGCTCACAACTTCCAGCAACATCCCCCAAAGCATTTGCTCAAGTGTTAAGCTCAGGAATAAACTAAACATTCAATTTTCTAAACACTTGCTCTATTAAAACACTCCAAGGCAGAGTTTATTAGTGGTCATTTACAAGCATTGCTCTGTTTCCTTTACCCTCTCCAGCTGCAGAGGAGCAGTCACGCTAAATAATTACTCACCATGTCTCAAAATGCACTTAAAATTAGACTTAAACATTGCAAATCTCAGAATTCCCTTTTGCTGCCTCAGTAATCTTTTTTCAGCATTTGCCAAATGTTTTGCATTTGGCACGACAAAAACATTAAAGCTCAGTACCACCAGTTTCTGCAGTGATGGGGTTGTAAAGCTTCCAAATGGTGAGGATTTCATTTGAAGGCTTTTATACACGTGTAAAAAAAAAAGGATCTGAGTTGATCAAAATACACATTAAATACAAAATGGTGACTGCAACTCATTACTTACCCCATTTTCAAAAAGTGGTTCTTTTCCATGGCTTTTATAGGCAAATATATGTATTTTTAAGATTGCAGTCGAACATCTCCACTGTTAAAACTGGTGATAAAAATGCCCCTAATGCCACTTCAAACAGATTCTAGCAATATATCAGACTTCCTACATGTATTTTTAAAGAAATTAGGCTTATACTTGAGGCTGCAAAGAGCTTCCTGCCACCCTGGTGTGTTTTTTGGTGTTTTTTTTTTTTTTTTCCAGTCAGTTCTTTGTGGATGAATTTCCCCAAGGCCACTGCAGGTTCCTCCAACACTGAGTGTCACCTTCACCTGGTAGCACAGCATTCCTTACCCTGCCTCCTTCCCACACTCCCTGTGTTTGCTGCTTTTTGGGAGGTGGGAGCTGCCTTTGGAATCCCCTCACCCACACCACAAGTATAACAAACACATCCTCCGTTGCACAGCAGCTTCAAGCACATCAGGGACTACACAGACCATTTTCAACCTCATTCCCCAAAAATTTAATTTATAAATGCTGCACAAAACACTTGCAATGGGCCTGACCACCACGGACAACACCCCTGTAGCAGGAAGTATTAAAAATAAAACCAAATTCCCTGGGAGTGGGAGGAAAAAAGAGTGTTCAGATTTCACAGCAGGGGGAAAAAATACCCACTTTGTCGTGCTTTCAAACATATCCCCAGGGAGCATCCCTAAAGTGATCCTGAAGGGCATCTGTTGTATTTGAACCTACTTGGGATACACTCACCAGGGGAGAAAAACCCAAGATAAAAGGTTGTCAGCATAAATCTGACTCCTGTCAGTATAAATCTGAACTCACTGAATTGCCAGCCATCCAAAGTATAACCTAAAAATTATATCTTACCTTGCAAATATCTTGCAATATCTGACCTTGACCACCCAACAAGATAAATCTCATTTTTACTGGGTACATTTAAACCTCAACCACAGCAGTTTGTTTCCTCAGCACCACCCTCACCCCCATCCTTCAGTCAGAGAACATCTCTCCACCTATTTTACCTTTTCCCACTCTATCTTGATCTCGCCAAGAAGGCAACTGGTGATATTTTGGGTATCAAGCTGTCTGCCACGAGCAGCCACAGCTTTTATTATTTATAACCTGTTTCTGAACACACAAAAGTGTCACTGGCCAGTGTTTTGGCCATTAGCAAACCGGTCAAAATCAGCAGCAGAGCTCTAATTTTCCTTCCTTTTTATCCTGCAACCCTCTGCTTTGAAGATATTTTCCCCACTCCCCTGACACATCATGATGTTGATGATCTCTGCTGGCACAGACAAAGCTGTTTTCCTGCCTCTATCCCCCTGCTTTTTCTCCACCTCCCTTGAAATTCAGCATTCCTAAGGAGGATATGCTCCCAGTAATATTTATCACAGTCAGTGGCATCTCAACCTGAGACCTATCAAAGATGAGCAACTCCTTGTCAGGAAAAAAATTTCCCAGTTCCTCAAGGAAAATCCCATCTTGATCCCTGTGTGTCAGCTTTGCAGCTATGAAAACAACAACTAAAAGCTGGGTTTTATTATTATTATAGAACCTAAAATGAAGACAAGTCTCAGCTGCTTTCACATTTTTCTGCTCTTTTAACAGTTTTGTGGATATACAAGCCCAAAGCTTTGATTTACTCTTCCAAGGCTTCTGGCAATTACTGCAACTCAGAGCACCTGTGGTTCCCTGTTGGAAAACATCCTCGGCAGTGTGATGATAATAAATAAATCATGGACTGTTGTGAGCAGCTGCCAGGAAAGATGAAGGGATTTGGGCTCTTTGAGTGGATCCAGTCACTTTATCAGGGGCTCTCGTGCTCGAACACCTGATACACCTGCAGGGCAGGTGAGGCCTTTCCCAGCTGTGTGCAAACTCAGTGCCAGCAGCTGCTGTGCCAAATGCCAGAGAGATGAGCAGGAGAAGTGGAATGCTGAAAAAATGGCAAGCTGAAAAACCCCCTGGAACACCTTCCCAACAGAGGTTACAAAAGAATTCTGCAAAATCCGAGTTTAAGGGCGGAAGTTTCCTTCACCATCTCTTTTTTTGGGGAAGAGAGGAGGGAGGAGTTGGATGACCAACATCCCATGCCCCAAACATGAGGTGTATGCACAAAACAAAACACTCCACACAAGGAATGTTTCAACCTGTTTGCACGGCCAGTGCTGCTGATTCCAAGGAAAAGCTGGGCCATACATTTCTTCTCAGACTTGCTGCACTGAACAGTCAGGGTAATGCTCTGGAAAATAACTAAGGGAAAAGCTATCCCATGATACATCACACAGATATGTTTGTATCCAACTGAAACCAAAAGAGCTTTGCCTACCACCCTCCACAATCCTCTGGGTGTGTTGGGACCGGGGTGGTGAGGATAAAGGAAGCTTCCACCACCCTCCTAAAGGAAGTGTTGATACAGAATTGGCTTTGCCTGAGGGGACAGACATTTATCATCATTAATTGATATGGAATAATTAACCCTGGACACATGGAATGTGCATACAAACCTCCTTGGACTGACTGGCCTTGGCGATGGCGTCCTGCGTCAAACGCTCCTGAACCAAAATGCGAATTGCCTGGGAAAGACATGGAAAGGTGAGAGGAAATAATTCATGCCTTGGTGCATTTCTCAGTAATTCCAAGGGAAAAGGAGCCAAAGTTATAACTCAGCATAACCTCGAACCCAGTTTTGTGACAATTTTTTCTGGAGAACTCT